AAGTAAAAAAATCAAACCAAACCAGCCAACCAAACCCCAAACAAACAATAACCCCCTAAACAAAACAAAAATCCACAAACAATTAAACAAAAAGAAACAGTACACATCCAGTCTTGGAATTGCAGAAACTGAATATACCAGGTAAATATTTTAGCCCAACCTGCTGGAGTTACTCTTTTGTTTAGAACTGTGTAAACAAGCTGAAGTATTTTTATTTTTGGTTGTAGTGGGGGCAAACTATGTTTATTTTGAGTTTCAGTAATGTAAGGATTGCATGCAGTTGTTTATATTTATTATTTCTGGTTTGCAAGCCCCTCATCATCTGAAGCACTGGTGCTACTGATAGAAATATTGATACTTAGTGTCAGGAAATACTCCTTCTAATGGTACCCAACCCTCCAAACACTGGTGTCAAAAATATTTTTTTCCATTCTCTCCCTCCCCTCTCCTCCTTTTCCTCCCTGACTTGTTTTAGCATTTGTTTGAAAGCCAGCTCAGAATGTTAATTATGGCCAGATTTTCTTCAACGTCTTCTCTGTTGTCCACTTTTACAAACTGAGATGCCACTCACATTTTTCAAGATATCCCGTGTTTGTGTATTTGCTCATGAATATTAAACTTACTCATGAGTATCTGTAAAATTATTTTAAATCTTTAGAAAGAAGATGCTATGAATATACAAGCAGTCACTTTTTGTTTGTAACTTCTGCTCTTAAGCTTAGTGTGTATCATTTATTTTACTTTCCAGAGAGAACACAGTGTAACATGTGGCTTAGACTCGTTTGCTGCTGATCCTTCCAGGCAGACAACTGTCAGTGTCAGCTACTTGTTAACAGAGTAAGTATATAAAAATGAAATTCTGAATCAAAGGCTCATTTTGGGTCTTCAAGCAAGATGGAGGCATGCTTCATGTCCACAGTCCCCTTGATAAACGTCATCTTTAGGGGAAGTAATGCCATGGGAAAGTCAGACAAATCCTGCTTTAGTAAATGGAAGTTTAATTGCTAAGCAGAATTTGTCTTTAGCAGATAGACACAAGGAAAATCAGGCATTTTACACAACTGTTCAATGAGTGAGATATTTGATAACACTGTCTTCCTTTCAATTGCCTGTCATTTGCAAGCTTTTCTGTATGACTTACTACTGACTTATCTCCCCTCGCAGCCCAATTTAACTTGCTTTACTGGTAGTTATAACAAGTGAGAGGTGCAGAGCTCTCTTAGTTCCCTAAGGTCTGGAGCAGTGTTCGTAACTCACAGTTATTTCTCTCTGGCTCCCTCTACGCTGTTTTGTAAAAGTAATTCTGAAATGGACTTGGTTTTGCTGGGTGTCTCACACTTGTAACTTGATGGTTTTTAAGAACTGTTAATTTTTCTTTAGTATTACAGACACTTTTGAAACATTCACACTAAGCCTGCTGTCTTCACTGTTGGTTGATGGGCCGAATTCTCCTTTTTACAAAGCCTTAATTGAGTCTGGTGTTGGTACAGATTTTTGTCCTGATGTTGGGTAAGTGTTACACTTTACAGTTCATCCCTGTAAGCAGTATTAGAAAAGTTAAAAACCAGTATTAAGTTGGGAGAACTCTTCTCTCATACAGGCAGATTATACCAGAATAATCTTATTTTAATATTAAAACATATTAAGAATTTCTTCTGGTGAACTGTAAACCATTCTCAAGTGTAATTTTATCATCAAAATAATTTGATAGATGCTAAGTTAGTTTAAACAAAGTTGTATTTTTTAAAGCTTATGACCAACAAAAATGGATAGATGGTATAAAGCATGATATACCTTCAGTGCCCTAATTTACTTGAGTTTTTCATCCTGGACATTTAGTGTTACTCAGAAGAGTTTGGTAGCTCTTCTCTGTACCGTGTTGCTTTTTTTGCTTCAATTCTGTGATTTAGTAGTAGGTAGGTCTGTCACAAATGTGCTTTGTGCAATTAGGTGCCATCAACTTGCCATCCCCTCAGTACAAACAGGTATTTGAGCCAACACTTACTCAAACTGTAGCTCCTGCAGCCCATCTTCTGAGTGTCTTTGTGCTACAGCCTGAGCGTGGGTGGATAGTCTTCACTGAACCACAGGGCCAGCTGCTCATCATATTTTACCTTTATTGTATGCACAAAGAAAGAAGCACTTTCCAGGCATGATCCATCTGACTGATTTTTAGACTTGAGGATGACAAAAATCATGCCTCAGTGCAGTGACTGTCTCAGAGGGTTGAGTAGGAAACCTTACTATGCTCATCTGTGATTTTAATGTCTTACTCTGCCAGCCTCTACGTGAAGTCATTGGCTTCCTGCAAGTCCTGTGTCATGCATGCCAGTGCCATGCAGACATCTTAATATTCCAGAGCATGGCAGTAGAAATCCATCTTTAGACTCTGAAGTGTAGTGACTAGTTTGTATTTTTGCTCAGCTGGGCCTTTTCCAGGTTGGCTCTGTTGATACAGGGTTGAACTGTACAGTGAGCTGGCTTTAATTCGCCTTAATGACTGTGCTGATGAATCAATCTAGAAGAAAATGTTTGAGTCCAGAGATCACTGTTGCAGAATTTGATGCCTGAGCCTACCACTGAATTCCTTCTGTGCTTTTTAGATGTGGAATGCTGGTTGTATATGGGCTGATGAGCACCTGTTGCATTTTGTGTACTGGCTTTGGTTTGAACTGCTAGGTGTTCATGGAACAGTTCACTTCGACCACTTACTTTACAAATGCTACTTTGAAAGTACCATTCCACTCCCCTGCCTAAGTAGAATATATGTGTTTGGTAATATATGCAGCTGAAATTTTCACCTGAAAAAGTGAGACTTCTTTACCTGAAAGAAGTTACAAATGAACGTGAAGATGAACAGCAAATACCAGCATTTCTATTGTAACTGTTTTTTTCCTCTAATACCATCTGCCATGTGTTTTCTTTACAGTGGCTACTACTACTGAAATTGAACAAAAAATGCTTTTAAGTTCCATTTCTTGCCTCTTTGGTAATTAGTTTTCTTTCTATCTAGCTTTAAAATCTTGTGTGTGTATGTGGAAATGATGGGTGGTTTTTCTTCCCCTTCTTCTGCCTTTGTTGGCAGATTTAACACTTAAGTTCTAGTACTTGTCACTGACTTGGATATATTTTATTCTAGGTTTAATGGCTCAACAAGAGAAACTTATTTTAGTGTGGGTCTACAGGGTATTGCTGAAAGAGACATTGATACTGTGAAACAGATAATTGCTAGAACAGTTGATGAAGTTATTGCGTGAGTAATGCTAAATTTTTGAGAATACTGTTATTTTTTAGTCTTTTAGGTATTACTATAATAATATGTAGGCATATAATAATACAGATATATATATATATAATAACATGCCTTAAAAATTTAGTTACATTACAATAAAGGCATCAAAGAACCAGTAATATTGTTCAATACTCTTAAAACTTGTATCTGCTACTTCCTCTATTGTAGCTTTTTTTCATCGGTGTAATCTTCAGGAGTTTAATGATATTAGTGCAGTTTCACTAAATGACACAACATATTAATATTATTTCATACCAATTTCAATTCAGTGTGGAAGACATTATGTTGTAATGGCTTCCTTTATCGATAATATAATTCATTTTCATACCTTCATTTAAAGTGATTAGTGTTAATGGATATGATTTCCTTCTCTCATCATCCCTTCCCAAAGGAAAGGATTTGAGGAAGATAGGATTGAAGCTCTACTTCACAAAATTGAAATCCAGCTGAAGCATCAGTCTACAAGTTTTGGACTTGCCCTGACATCTGTAAGTCTGTGTGTGTGGTTTTTTAAGAATAAAAAACTCTACTGCCTATATCTTTATAAAATATGGGATCATTTTGTAGGCTCTTGGTGTGTAAAACTTTTTACTTAGGGGCTTTTCCTTTGCAATCTCCTGGGCATCTTTTCTTTCAGTAGCCGTGAAACTACCTCTGGACTCCTCACTGTATGACTTAATTGGGCAGTGAGCCTGTTGTCTCTGCCTGAATAGTAGCTTTGATTGCAGTAGCACTAATTACTTCTGTGAGGGGCATGCCATACTGGCTCTGGGAACTGTATGTTTTGGCTGGATGCCTTGTGTATTTTTAAAAGCCAAATAGGAGGACTGTATTTTTCTATGGAATTTAGGATTGTACTGCTGTAATTTAATTTCAAGATTCACGAGTGAAAATGTACACTAATTCAATTCCTGGCTTGAGTTGCTATTGAATGTTCTTCATATAAACCCCCTTCAAATATTGAAAGGCGACGGTAAGGTTTCTCCGAAGCCTCCTCTTCTCCAGGCTGAACAACCCTAAGTCTGTCAGCCTTTCTTTGTAGCAGAGGTGTTTCAGCCCTCTGATAATTTTTGAGTACCTCCTCTGGATCTACTCTAACAGATGTCTTGTCCTGCAGGCCCCAGAGCTGAATGTAGTATTTCAGATGGGGTCTAGAGGGAGTGAAGTACAGAAGGCAGAGCCACCTCCCTCGAGCTGCTGGTCACACTGCTTGTGATGCAGCTCAGGGTACTATTGGCTCTCTGGGCTGCGAGCACACACTCTGGTCATTTCCAGTTTCTCATCCCCAGGCCATTCTCTGCAAGTCTACTTTCAAACCATTCATCACCCAATGTGTACTGATTACTAGTCATTGCCCCAGGCCAGGTTCAGGACCTTGCACTTATTGAACTTCATGAGATTCATGTGGGTCCACACCTCAAGCCTGTCCAGGTTCCTCTGGATGGCATTCCTTCCCTCCAGTGTGTCGACTGCTCCACACAGCTTAGGGTCATCTGCAAACCTGCTGAGCATGCTCTCAGTACCACTGGCTTTATATTGTTAATAAAGGTGTTGAGTAGTATCAGAACCAATACAGACCCCTCAGGAACACACAACACTTCTTACTGATCTCCCTTTGGATGTTGAGCACTGGAATGCAACTGCTTGCATGTGGTCATCCAGCTGATTCCTTATCCATTGAATAGTCCACCCATCAAAACTTGTGTCTTTCCCCAATGTAGCAACTAAGGATGGTGTGTGGGACTGTCAGAGGTGTTAGGAAAGTCAAGATAGGTGAGATCAGTTCAGGAAAAAGCTCTTCAGAGTGAGGGTGGTAAAGCGCTGGAACAAGCAAGTGTACCGGTTTTGATAGTTAGATCTCTTCCCAGTGGCTGGTATGGGGCTGTGTTTTGGGTTTGTGCTGAATACTGCTGATGACACAGGGATGTTTTCATTACTACTGACACAGTGTCCAGGCCTCTGCTTCTCACTCCACCCCACCAGTGAGGAGTCTGTCAATGAACAAGGAGCTGGGAGGGGACACAGCTGGGACAGCTGCCCCCAGCTGACCCAAGGGCTGTCCCACACCGTGTGACACCAAGCTCAGCAACAACAGCAGGGGAAAGAAGAAAGCAGGGGACGTTTGGAGTGATGCATTTTGTCTTAGCAAGTCACCATTACATGTGATGGAGCCCTGCTGTCCTGGAGAGAGCTAAACACCTGGCCTGCCCAGGGGAAGCAGGGAATGAATTCTTCCCCTGTGCTCACGCACAGCTTTTGCTGTTCCTCTTAAAATGTGTTTATCTACACCCACAAGTTTCCTCACTTTCACCCTTCTGATTCTCCTCCCTCATCCTGCTGTGCTGACAGTGAGTAAGTGGCTGAGTGAGGCTGAGCTGCCAGCCAGGGATAAACTGTGTCACCAAGGAAGTGGTCATGGCCCCAAGCCTCTCAGTGCTCAAAAAACATTTGGGCAATGCTCTTAGATATATGGTTATACTTTTAGGTTGCCTACTGGGAACCAGCACTGAATTGTTGTAATGACTCTACAGGAGCCTCAAGTAGAGTGACTTCTTTTATTTCAAGAGAACTAACTCAAGCATATTCTGAAAGAATACTGTTCTTTAAATCACATTAGGGAATTTCCACAGAATAGATAAAAATAGTTATTACTGAAAAAGGCTGAAGGCTTATGATACTTGCTTGTAATTAAACAAGTAAGAAAAGAGAAGGTGGTTTTGACAGTTACGATGGATTTGTTCTCTATATGCTTCTAGTAAGGGCTTTTTCTTTCATATGTCTTGGGTTTTTTATATTCTCCTTTTTTTTGTTATTTCCCCATTTCATACAGAGTAGAAATACAGAAGCTTTTGGTATCTTGCTCTGTGGTGTATTTGAAGAACTTTCAATAGCAACTCAAGCAAACTTAATAGTCTCAAATTAGAAAATAAAACTAGGATAAGAACTTTCCAAAAGAAATATCCTGGGGTATTTCTGATTATTTAGTGTCTTCTTTCTGCAAAGTCCCATCTGTTTTACATATTTGAGTTACCTTATTAGGAATCATTTCATCTGATGGATACAATAAATGGATAGACTGTAGTGTATATATATATACTACTTTGTCCCTACTACCGGTTTCTTTTTTCCTGCTTTCTTGAGCTGAAAAGTTAATTTATTTTAAATGTTAGGGAGGAAAGAATATTATGATATATTTTCAGAATACAGATACAGACACCTTTGCAAAAAAAAAAGTAATAATTAGAAGTGGTTTTGTATTATAAAATTAGAGGCAAGAATGGAGAGAACAGGGAATAGATGATGATGGAGTTGTCCCTTAATATGAACAAAGATTTTAGCTTTTTTTCCCCTCTCCAAAAACGTTAGAACTACTCATTATATGTCTGTTATTCAAATATAAATGGTAAAGTGGTTTTGGAACACAGGGGCTGTCAGTTAGAGAAATGCAGATGGATTGTCCTGCTTACCTAATTATTCTTTTCCATTCAGCATATAGCCTCGTGCTGGAATCAAGATGGGGATCCAGTGGAGCTTCTGAAGATTGCAGATCAAGTCTCTCGGTTCAGGCAGTGTCTTAAAGAAAATCCCACATTTCTTCAGGAGAAAGTTAAAACATATTTTAAGGTAGGCAAACTTATGGAAAGTTATCTTCAGTATTAAGTTTTAAATCAGAATTTCGTATTTAATATTAAACTGAAGGCTTTTTTTTTGTCACCATATTGCATATTTCTAGATGTAGGTTGAACAGCAGCGCTTTTGAATGAAGCATGTTAATTTCAGATGGTTAAATGAAAGCTTTTCAAAATGGAAAAAATGTTATCTGGTTCGACATTTGGAACCACACTTAATAGAACACTGATAAAATGCTAATGTTTTACCAAACTGTGATGCCTTATGCTACAGAAGGGCACATGGGTGTTTCCTGCTGAGAAGTTGAGAGAACTGCAGACCTAGTTATATGTTCCTTAATATTGACATAGCAATGTGTGTCTCTTCCTCCATGAAAAAGATTTGATTACAAATAAGATTATTTTGGTGCTCCTCATGTTTACTGAACTGCTGTCTGAATTTTGCTGTCAGTGCCAATTACTTTCTGCTCTTTTCTTGTTTTCCTGTCCATATATTCTCCTGGAGTTCTTGCAGAAATAAAATCAGTAAATAAATCAATAAAAAACTACAACACTGAGTAGTTCTGAATTCCTGAATTAGCTAATGCCAGAAATGAAAGAAATTCAGTGATAGTAATGCAAAAGTGGTTTTGTTTTGTTTTGTTTTAGTTGTGGGGGGTTTTGTTGCTTGTTTTGATTTTTGTTTTGGTTTTTTTGGTAGGGTTATGTTTTGTGATTTCACCCCCCCCCGTCAACTTGTTTAAATTGTGTTGAAAGGCAGATGTGTTATAAGTAACTACCAATAAGTAATCTGATTGGTGTAAATGTTGGTTCTCATATACTCAAAGGCTACAAGAGACAGTGGCCTTAATTGAAATCAGTTTTCCTAAAGGCATTGTTAGTGTCTGGAGGTGGTAGGGAGCTGTTAAATTTTGGCCTTTGTAGAGAAGAAACACAGGTACAGTATTTTTGTGATCGCCCTTTACAGTTCTACTGAAGGGGCTGAGGCAAAAACACGACTCAGTAGGAAATGATGAGAATAGCTGGATGTCCTTCTATCAGAAGATTATGCACTGTTCTGCCTTGTACCAGGAAGTTAATAAAGCAGGCAGGGAGCAAGGGAGAGAATGCCATTTGTCCTGTCCATTTTAATATAGCTGGTTAATTTTGCATTTCCCTCTTCAACTCCATACTCAGTTGGGTTTCCACAGTCTTTTCACAGAGGCCTGGGGGAGGTAAAGAACAGAATCTGATTACATTGTCCCAAATTACTGGCAGTGTGTCAGCGACAGATGTTGCTGTTTGACTCCTACATTGAACTGGGCAGTTTTTGAGGTCACTGTCTTTTGACTGGTCTCCCAGTATTATGGCAAATGGAAGCTGCTTGAGTAATTTTGATATTAGAATTCCACAGTCTGGTATAACCAAAGAAGAATTCAGCAGCAGTTATGACACTTGCATTATGCCTGGAGTCCTGTGGCAGCAAGGCTGATGTAAACCATTTCTGAGCAGGATAAGGCATGCATATCATTATATATTATGTCATATGGGATGTCTGTGCACTCAAGCTTGGGCAGGTTGAAGAAGGTATTTAATGAAACCCTCCTGCTTTTAACAAAATTCCCCATCTTAGAGTACTCTCCAGATAAAACTTGTGGCATGCTGCTCTGTGGTGTTGCGTACAGTTGTTTAACCTTGATTTAATTAAACTAATGAGTCCTGTGTGCCGTTGAGGGATTCTGAGTCTGTGCTGAAATTTCACAGAAGGGTGTTCATGCTTGTTGTTGTGGTGAGCTGCCTCTGCTCCCCACCCGCACAGCAGATTGTTCTGGGTGAAATCGAGAGTTCAGACTCTGTGTGTGTGATGCTTTTGATAACATGCAAGCCAAATGATGCCCAGACTGCTTTTATTTACTGCTGATGAAGCAATAATCTGAGGCAAGGAAGCTGCGCTCAGAATTAATAATGCTTTGTTTTGGGATATGTTTCTGCAGGATAATCCGCACAGATTGACTCTGTCAATGAGTCCAGAGGAAGACTACCATGATAAACAAGCTAAAATGGAAGCAGAAAAGCTGGAAAAAAAGGTCAATGCACTTTCTGAAGAAGAAAAAACACAAATTTTTGAAAAAGGTTAACTTGCTTTTCACATTTTTATTTCTCTAACTGCTTGAAACCACAGTTTTTTAGCTGATGTTCTGTAGAACATTTTAAATTCTCAGGGACACTGCAGCATTTGCTCTGAAAGGGATGGGGTTTTTTGTTGGAAGTTTGGGTATATGTATTACAGGGCTGTGCAGTGCTGTGCTTTAACTACATTGGTATATTCCAGTAGTTTTAACCCTCAAAAATAGAATGATCAATGTCTCTGTTAGGGCAGAAGAAAGGAAATTATTTTAAAATACCAACCTGCTTGTTCTTTCCCATGTTAACTTGCACTAAATGGGAGATGAATTCACAGAATTCAGGTAGTTCAGTTTGGAAGGGACCACAGAGGTCCAACCTCTATCCTTGAGCAGGGTCGTCCCAGAGGACGTGGCACAAGATTGTGTCCACATTGTTCTGGAATATCTCCAGTGAGGGAGACTCCAGAACCTCTCTGAGCAAACCTATTCTAGTCCACAATCACCCCCCTAGTGAAGAAGTTCTTCCTTATATTCAGGAGGAACTTTCTGTAGATCAGTTTCTGCCTGTTGCCTCCTGTCCTATTGCCTGGCACCACTGAGAAGTGCCTGGCTCCATCCTCTTGACACCCTCCCTTCAGATACTTACATTCCATCACATACCTTGAAGCTGTTTATGAGCATGAGGTCTGTTCCATGCACCTATAAAACCTGTATTTTGTAATTTTATTTCTTACATTTCCTGCCTATCAAACCAACTATAAAAGTAATGTTGTGTTTAACTTCTTCTGGATAATAACTTAAACTTGGAAACCCTGGACAGTAATCTGATTTTGTGAAGGCAGTGATCTGGTCATGGAAATCCTCCAAGAATGCGGTGTTAATCTTCTGAAGCTTTGGTGTGAGACATGAGATAGGGGAGCACGAAATCGGAGGAGGCTTTCTACTTACAAAGATAAATTGGAGAGTACTTAACGACAGTGACCAGCTAGAATCTGGAAGGCTGAAACGTGTAATTAATCACAAGAAGTTACTTGCATCAGCATTCCAACTGAGCACTTGAGTAAGAACTGGGGGGAATGGGTTAGAAAGAAGCTTCTTACCTGCCAGGTCTGGGTCAATGTTCAGAGCTGGGTGACTGGGCAGACTGGCAGGTGTCTCTTCTTCAGGGATTAAATTGCATGTTACTGTAAACAGATGTGCAGAGGGGATTGGAAAGATAATTTACAAAGAGTATTCTGCCGTTGTTGCGTGATGATCTGCAGAATTTGTTTCAGTAAAATATTTGAAAGAATTGCAGATAGAAGATTCCAAACTTCAGAGTTCCATTTTTCTGATCTTCGTCACCTCAGTAGGTTATTAGGGTTTGACAGCATTTTCACTAAAAGCTGAGAATGACAAGCTGATACTCTCTCCTTACTAGGTTTGGAATTAATTGCTCTTCAAAGCAAACCTCAGGATACCTCTTGTCTCCCAGCTTTAAAAGTGTCTGACATCGAGCCCAAAATCCCATTCACTGTGCTGGAGACAACACTCACAGGTTGGTGTCACCATTATTTTGTGCTCAAAAGAGCAGCACTGTTGGGTTGTTACCTGCCTGCTTGCCCAGCTGTTGCTCCTTGCGAAGCAGAGGGACTCACTTTGTTGTCCACAGTTATGGTCCTTTCCCTCCCACCTCTGATCAGACGGATTGCAGTGGATCTGCAGTGTGGCCATGGCCTCTGAGGGGCAATGTGGGGCTGTTCTTGACTGGAACAGCCTCCTGCCCTTCCCAGGATCTGGTGGGAGTGCTCCTGATGACAGCTCCTTGCTCTGGGTGTACTCCACCGTTGCCCTGCAATCAGAGGAGTCTCTGGGTGGCATGTTCAGTGCTCTTGAGCAATCTTCTGACTTTCCAAAGACTTACCCAGGGTGCAGCACTATTGGCAGCTGGTGCATTGAGCCTTCCTTATTGCACTCCCTCCCTGCTCCGTTATTTACAGAATATGACATACAGGAGCCATGGGAAAAAAGACATAATTGTTGTTCTGCATAACTTCAGTGGAAGTGTCTCCTTGCTTTGCCAATGGTTACCCCATGGATTGATAGAAAATGGTAGATCTCAATATTGTTACAGTTCTGTCAGAATCTTGGAGGTAAATACTGTTCTGTAGTATATTTCTGACAGACACTTTCCTGCAAAAATGACCAAGTGTCAAGACTGTATAATTTTGGTGCTAAAAAAGACCTGGTTTGGCAAAAATTATAATGTGTATATTCTAATGTCCTAGCTTAGAGAGTGTACAGTGCAGAAACCTGCTTTCCTCAGCTTTTGAGGTGATGAAGGCAAAAATAAGAGAGAAAAACTTCTTGACTTGTTCAGAAACAAGTTGCCATTTCCTTTATTTGAATGCTATCTCTAAAATATGACCTCTATCAGCAGATTTCTCTCTTCAGATTGTCCAGGTATCCATTACCTTACCATGGACAGAAACAATAAAATCCTTCAGTCCAGTGTTCAGTATAATGTGCAAAATTTAAACAAGTGGTGGCTCTGAAATGCCAACAGAAAATTATTCTTAATGTGAAGTTCTTGTAAGAAATTGTTTTGCTTTTGTGTGTTTATAGTAGGAAACTGTTGATGTTCTTTGCTTTTGTTTTTTTTTTATCCCTAGCTGATGAAGTTCCTGTCCAGTACTGTGCTCAGCCCACCAACGGGGTGGTTTATTTCCGAGCTGTTTCCAGCTTGAACACTCTTCCCGAGGAGCTCAAACCTTACGTGCCACTCTTCTGCAACGTCATTACAAAGTGAGAGGCTTACTTCCTTAGAAGCTGAAGCAACAGGCTGTAATACAGCTTGCCAAAATAATACTGCCTTTAATAATTTCAGCATCTGTTCTTGCTGTAGAAGGGAAATACTGATAAGTTGGTTTCCTGCAGAAAGTGGTCTTCTCTCTTCTCCAAAGAGCTGCCAACTCATTTTCCCTTTTCCATCACTCTCTGTGTTGCCCTGTTGCCCAGTGTCAACACAAGCATTCCCTGAATGGATTGGAAAATCCCTGTAAATGAAAAATAGCATAGCAGAAATTGAAGTTTTCGCTTGAATAGACTTCTGGTCTGATTTCACTGTGTGGTCACAGGAACAGTGACCCACAAGGGAAAGAGGAGCACAGAGCAGAACAAGTGACCCGGTCTGGGAGGAATATGTTCTTTTTATTGGTGATAACAGCTTATGTGATGTTATTAATGTAGTTCCATATGGAAGCCTGCACACCATTTTAAATTAACAGGATGCTTTCATTGAAAAGCTGGGTGTGAAGCTTTTGTAAGGCATGAAGTACTGTGTTTGCTTGATAATGCCCCAGATTGTTTAGTTGCTAAATTAGTATTGTCCTAAACAGTACTTTGCAAATGCTGTATGGATCCTTGTTTTGGCATACACTGAAAATGAAACAAATCTCTCGTTTTTCACAGGATGGGATGTGGAGCCCTTGATTACAGGGAACAGGCCCAGCAAATAGAACTAAAAACAGGAGGGATGTCTGTCAGCCCACACATCATTCCAGATGATTCACACCTAGATGTGTATGAACAGGTAAATTAATCATAAACCTGCAGGTGTTACACTTGCAATAATAGCTGTGTAGGTAAGGGTCAGTCAGGGCTTCCAGGTGGAGGGTCAGCTAATGTGCACTGAAAACTTGGTGTATAAAAGGACTTGTACCTTTTTGTGTAAGATATAAATCAGACAGTTACAGTAGCAGTATTTTGTCTGAAGGGGAGTGCTTGAGGTGGGTATCCTGTCTAAGGCAGTGCTTCACTAGCATCTGTTACCATGTTTTCAAGTGCTGCAAAACATTTTGGAAGCAGAGGGTAGAGGACAGAATGGTGTAGTGTTATACATAGAGGTTGCTGTTAACATGTCAATGTTTGCAGGATCATTAGAGCCTGTATTGGGTATAACAGTTCTAGCAATGTATCTTAAGATTCTTTCAAACTTGCTGGGGGTCTGCTCTGTGATCTGTTCCCCATGGATCCTGGAGTTGAATTAGGGGGACTCCTTTGCAGGAAGGTGCACCCCAGAAGAGTTTTACTTGTGCTTTATGCAAAAAAACCGAGAAACTTTGTTTCTGAACTGCTGCTGACTGTTAAGAAGGAGGAATTGAGGAGTGTAGGAGCAGGAGTTGCCAGGCTTGCTTTGTGAGAAGAACAGTCATATTTCTTGTTTGCTCTAATTTAGTAGCACAGCCTGCAGTAGAGTGATTTTGTGATGTTAGCATTAGGTTGGCATCATTACATCACTTTCATAAAATGTTATTGTGTATTTCTCGGGCCATTGCTTTGGTTGTCTTGTGTGAAGGGGTATTTTTGTGTTTTGTTTTTTATTTTTTCCTTCAGGGTGTGCTCTTTTCATCTCTGTGCTTGGATAGAAATCTGCCAGACATGATGCATTTATGGAGTGAAATATTTAACAAGTACAGTACATTGGGTTTTGTTTGTTTGTGGGTTTGCATGTGTTTTGGGGTTCTCTTTTACGCTCTTCCCCCAACCATTCTCCTCTTCTTAGAGATCCTACTTTGGGATTTCTTTCATAACTAAATCTTTAGTGTCTTTCTAAACCTAAGTATTGCATCAAGTGCATGACTATAGAGTGAATTAAATGGACAACCAACAGTTTAAAAGCTCTTTGTTGAACTTGGGATGATGAATTATTTAGTATAATAAATTCCATTGGTGTCCTTTTGCATGAGACCTGCTTCTGTTCTTTTTCAGCCCAAGATTTGAGGAGGAAGAACATTTCAGAGTGCTAGTTAAGAAGACTGCCCAGGAGCTGTCAAATGGCATTCCAGATTGTGGGCATTTATATGCTTCTATTAGAGCCAGCAAAAACCTTACCCCTTCTGGAGAACTGCAGGAAATGTTCAGTGGGATGGATCAGGTGAAAAGTTGATAATATCCTTCAGTGAGGCCCAAATCCTCAACTCTGGAATTGCAGTGCTGGGGTTTTGCTAATTCTTTCTTTGACTTAATCTGTAGTATTTCTGCCTTCCCTTCCCACACAGGTGAAGTTGATGAAGAGAATTGCAGAAATGTCCGATATTAAACCAATACTGCGCAAACTACCACGCATTAAGAAGTATTTATTAAATAGTGACAACATCAGGTGAGCTCCAGCAAAAAAGAAAAGGGGCATTTTGGTTAAGAGAGGCCATGGCCTGTGAATGTGCATTTCTCAGTGCCTCTCATTGCATACTTTGAAACAAGGTCTGTGGAAAAACTATAATAATGTTGTTAATTTAAATTCTCCCTGCTTACAGAATGGCAACTATAGTAGCTATGGAAGCTCATTTTATTCAGTTTTTCATATGTAACTGTTGTACCCAGAGTTTGTAAGTGGCTTGTGGGATTTTACAGAAATACTCAAAATTCTGCCTCTTTGTTTTTCCCTTAAAGGTGCCCATTACACAAATACTGTTATATTGTATTGTAACAGTTGAATACAGTGTGGTTTGGATTTTTTTTTCTCCTGAAAAGAAAGTAGTGACATTCTGAAATCTGCTTTATGCATATATTGGAAAACGTAAAGACATTAGTAAAAAGTAAACACAATATTGTGTTTAGCGTCAGATGCATTAGTTCCAAAAATGGGTCTGTTTGAAGTGACATAAGTTGCAGAGTTTTGTTTTGGAAAGCATGAAATGATAAGTGAAATTATATAAATATCTGTAATGTTACAAAACCATGGTAGGGCTGCCTGTAAAGGGAGGATACAGAGGGCACTAATTTCTTTCAGAGACATTTATATTTGCAAAACTGAGGTAATCCTGTCTTGTGCACAGAAGGGGTTTGACTGCTACTGCTCAACTTTGGTTCTAAAGGTGTTTTAGGTCAAGCAAAAGAAAAACCATTGCACTGTGACTTTTTTTCTTTTCTTCATCAGATGCTGGATTATGAATATTTTGCCTTTTTCTGTGTTAAGATTACCAGAGACCACTGATCTAACATTATGATGATATGATAGAAAATGTTTAGAAAGACAAAGTGGTACAAATTATAAAAGACTGTCTGAAAACACAAAACCATATTTAAAAACTTGATATGTATTTTTGACAGATGCTCAGTGAATGCAGCACCTCAGCAGATACCAGAAGCATCTAAAGAAGTAGAGAAATTTTTAAAGGGCATAGCTAGAAGTAAAAAAGAGAGAAAACCTGTTCGTCCCCATGTGATTGAGGTGAGAAATTACATCATGTGCGACTAAGGCATCAAATACAGTTCACTTGATCATGGCATGACCACTGTGCAATCAGGAGAGCATTGTTTTAACTCGGATACTAAGTCCATACAAAGATGTCTGAGAAAGTTGCGAGAGTCAGCTCTGTGATCAGCTGCTCTGTGTTTTGCCACGCAGACTGTCTTCACTGCAATAAAGCAGACAATAGAAATCCTGTAGATCAGCTGTTAAGCCTTACCCTGAGGTTACTGCCTTGGCGTGGGATGTGGAAAAAGAATTTCTTCCTTTCCCTGTTGCATAAAACTAATTTCTTTTTTAGCTGAGCTTTACTAGAAGTGTTGGCCAAAAGCAAATAGGGCATGATGTGCAGTTCCTCAGTTGCATAGGAATTTGTTTCGTTATCAGGGTGTTCAGGACAGTTGGCACAAAAAGTGCTTGATTCAGTGGAGTTGACAAAGGATCTGGTCTGTCAGTATGCAGATTTGTCTTAATTTCTGATGAGACTGGAATAAGTTCCCTACCCATGAGTGAAATGATAGTCTGAAACTTTATGGGCCTCATTTAATCTCTGTCTTGGTATCTCTCAGTGCCAAATTACTCTTGGAAGGAAATTAATTTGGCTTTTGCTTAGAAAATACGAAGGAGTAATTGAGTATCTTGCTTATGTTTGTGAAGGCACAGTTTGATGGTTGTTTTAAAGAGGTTTGAGTGGAAAGGATTGCATTTGTTGTATTTTTGGTATAAATCGTTAAATTATCTTTTAATATGAGGACTGGGTCTCTTGTAGAAATCTTCAGAAGTGAAACCTGTGGGAAGTGAAATGGTTACTGGTTTGCAGATGACAAGGAAACTAGTTAATGTAAGTACATTACTGCTTGGGGATATTGGTATTACAGGGCTGTTACTGATACTTATGGTCCATCTTAAGCTGTTACAAAGGCAGAGCGCTGAAACACAATGTGCCCCTCAGTTCCACAGCCCTCTGACTGGATTGTTTCCTTAAACTAGCCATCAGACTTCTTAATCACGTCCAATTAGTCCCTTCCTTTCCTTTGTCTCCTCCCTAAATGATTCTGAATGTGAATGACACCTGACAGAAGAGCATTAGTGACTTGTAAGTGAAAATGAAAATCTGTATTTGGCTACGGGAGAGAAAAGCAGCTTGGCATACCCTGAGCTCTCCTTTGAGAAGGGGGCAGGGAGAGCTCAGCCCACGGTTTTGCCTGCTGACCAGTGCTGTAAATACGCTGCTCTGCGTGGCCAGCCAGCCAGAGTTGTGTGAGGGGCTGGGAATGAGGTCTCTGAAGTTAAGAAAGGATGGGGGAATAATGAAATGGTGGATTAAAGCTACTGGAGATGTGTGAGGGTCTGCTCATGCTCAAGTGAGTATACCAGCAAGTGTATCTGTAAAAGAGGCAAAGAAGCAAATTTTACAGACACCTGGAGACACGGAGAGGACTGGAATTTTTGAAGTGGGGTGGTAAGGAAGAATTGAATTTATTGCAGGGGGTGTTTGAGCAGAAATTCGTATTGCAGCTGCTGTCATAAATAGTGGGGGGTTTTTTGTGGGTTACAGTTTCGGAACCTGTTTTCAATGTCTAGAATTTAGTAGATGGATTGAAATACGATGTGGTGACTATGTACATACATGACATAGAAATGGAGAGTTATGAACACTTGTTTCAATGGAAGTAAATCCATGGCCAAGTCCAAACCCCTTGGCAGAGACAGAAGATCTGCAGAACTGAGAAGCTGGGGTGCAAGGATGGGTAGCTGGTGGACAGTGTCCCTGTACTTCAGTTTCCCAAGGCAATTCTGTGTACTGGATATGGGCACAAGCGAAATGTTGCAGTGTGGGATAAGTGACGGCTTTAGCATTTGTGTGTCTGTATGTTTGACTTTTTTGAGAACTAGGGAAATTTTGCCACAGTTCTCAATTAGATACATTATATAAATTATATAAATTGCATCATCTGCTAACAGTGACAATAATGCATCCTTCTCTTAGGATCCTACTTTCAAACCATGCCAGATGAAGACCCATTTTGTACTTCCCTTCCCAGTGAACTACATTGGGGAATGCGTTCGGACAGTTCCCTACACGGCTCCAGACTATGCAAGGTGGGAAGCAGAACATCAGGGAACTTCTCTGTGTGCTGCATGGTACAAAACCAAATGGGAAGTGTTGGGCTGACTGCAGAAAATGGAGTGTTGATAGAAAATGATTGGCAGTGCATTTGTTACAAAATCTGTATGAAGCAACTGATGCATGGCTGGGTTGGAGATGCCCTGTAAATGCTGAGGTGAAGTATTGGGAGGTGCTGTCTGCTCACTTGGAATAAACAGCCCTGCCTACTTGGATGTGTTCTGAGTTGACAATCCTATGTCATGTAATAAAGCTTAGAATGCTGCTCTCATATTTCATTAAAGTGAAATAAATAGAAATAGTCAAGGAATGATCCAGAGCAGTGCCACTCTTACAGTGATGTCACATTATTCAGCTATTATGAGATATTGAGTATTGCTATTGTTACTGCTGCAAATTACAAAAAGCAGTGCATTGCAAATGGGGATCCTGGTGAGCTTTAGAGGAAGTTGAGGATATTACTGTTGTCCAAATCACTGAACTTCTTTGCTGTTGCTCTTTCTCTTATTCCAGCCTTCGAATCCTCGCTCGGTTGATGACAGCTAAATTCCTACACACGGAAATCAGAGAGAAAGGAGGGGCTTATGGTGGAGGTGCTAAACTTAGTCACAATGGCATATTCACTTTCTACTCTTACAGGTAACAGTGGGTTTGTTCTTTCTTGTTTCTGGCTGAGGGGACCACTGACTGCACTTGGCTGTATCTTATGTTCAACTTAATTGTAGCTCTCTTTCAAGATGAAGTGAAATAAAAGGAATGAAATAACAAGGAAGTGATTTAGTGCTGATGAAATTAGATTAATTGCTTAATAAACCCTTCCTTGCTTTCACTGGTTGGTGCCCTTGGGAAAGCCTAATTTATCTCTGTTGGTGGCAACCACTGTTGAGTCTCTGTACTTCAATATTTACTGTCTTGGTACCAGACTTATGTAAAACTGGCTTTTCCTTGTTTCGTCCTGGGTTGAGGAGGCCCTAAAAAAGGGAATTTAAGACTATTATAAATTTGAGACCAAAAAGTAGGATGATCGTGTTCCATAAGGTTATGCAGTATCCCTCAGTGACTGGCTGGAATCACTGGAGGTTTAGCAGAAGGCATTGCTGGTGATGAGCTAGAACTGCCTTCTCCTTCTTCTCTTTTTTGTCAGTTCAGAGCAATTACCTTGCATTGGGCTCACCAAAGCACTTTCAGATGGAATTTGAACTGGAAGTGTTAAAAAGTAGTTGTAATTCCCACTAGAAATGTCACGTGGCTGGAGTCCAGGCTTAAATAGTTTTCCCGGCCTAAAGGCAGCCTAGCACAGTGCTTGGTCAGGATTCCTAACTGAAGTTTGAGCAGCTTTGCCTCTCTGTGAAGCTTCAACGTGGTAGGACTTGTCCTGGCAGTAGTCCTTAACTTGCCAGTAGTTGTTAACCTGTGGCACCTGTTTTACAGAGAGCAAAAACAGGTGTAGCAGGAAAAGCAGCTTAGGGAAGATACGGCATATCTTAAAAATTACTGGTGTGGGTAGTAATGGCAGATGTGCTTTCTGAGCTGCTGCAGCAAATTGATAGTGCCCTGTGAACAGTGCTGGCTTAGCTGACCCTCTGTTATTAGACCAGTTCTCTGCACTCTGTCTTGGAATTACTTTTAGGCAACTGAACTGCACCCATGTATCTCAAACTCTAAATAACACTAGTTCCTTCTGGGGAAAAAAATCAAAACCCAAGCAACCCCAAAACCTCTCTTGTATATAAAAAGGAAGTTTATAATTTGTTTTTCCCTGTATGTGATGCATAGTAAATTATGAATGAAATGAGAACACAGCCACTTTGGTTTTTCATTTTGTAAGACTGAAGTAATTGATTTTAAGTTGGTTTTTTTTTTTATTCTTAGAGACCCAAATTCGTTAGCCACTTTGAAAACATTTGAAAAAGCAGTCGAATGGGCCAAATCTGGAGAATTCACACAACAAGACATTGATGAAGCTAAGCTGGCAGTGTTTGCTGCTGTGGATGCACCGATAGCTCCTTCTGATAAAGGTATATTCTCACCAGCCTCCCAGTGCTGCCAGCATATATTTATTTTTTTAAGTTTAAGGGGAAGAAAATACTTAGTTTGCTAAACTGTGTCAGATGATAAAACTTGTGCTTGGGAGATGTAAGCTAACTGCAGTTTCAATGAAGCAGACAGTTCCTGTTGCTTCTTTTCAGACACACCACATGCACGCAGGCTCTCTGCTGAACTTTTCATTCCTACTGCTCCTTGATGTCAGGTGCATACAGCTGGAGGTGGAGGGAGATTGAGGAAAACAACTTTAGGTTTGGAAAGGACATGAAACGCAAACAAATAAAAAGAAATGCTGTCCTCTGATTCAAGGAAAGCTGAAGGATTACTTTTGTGACACAAGCAGGCATATTGACTGTGACTGTCACTAGCCCTTTGTGCATGTTTTCTGAAGAAGTAGAGGGTGTTATCTTCTTTACATATCTGCACACTCATAATGCCTTGGTAATATCTTTGCATCTTTTCAGCTTATTGACATGTTGCTTTACTTTCCTCACTTTTCCCTCCCTCCTGCATTCTCATCTGAATTTCAATCCAAAACTTGCCAAGTTAGAATACATTCCCTAATACATAAATACATAAAGGGTATACAGGGTTAAGATTAGTATTATTTTAAAATGTGCTCATATTAATACTAACTTACTAAAGAAAAGTTCCAGTGAAGCTGACTTTTATCTGACAGAATCTGGTTTTGGTCTGGGCAATCAACCAGTGTTAGGTGCACACGAGTGCAGTGCCTGCACATTGGGTGTTGGTGTTAGTGAGGGATGACGAACAGTCTTTGGCATTTGAACACAGATCTTAACTGAGCGATGGCAAACTCATTGAACACTGAATGGAAAGCTCTGTTCCATAGGCCTGGGAACTGGTGCAGAGAGAATGTGTGTCCCTTCATGCTGTTAACTTCATTTCAGTCACCGGGCCCTGCACAAGGACTTGAACAACCTTACCTGGCTGGGAAGTCAGCCCTGCCTTGGGCAGGAGCTTGGACTTGTTGACAGAAGTCCTTCCAAGGCACCTTCTTCCCCCTATGCATATTTGCCTGACAAAAAGTTTTTCTGTGATTATTTTGGAGTTCTCTGGTTGTTCAAGGAGCCACAGTATTTATATTAAAATACTGTAGGCAAGTATTCCAACAAGAGCATTAAAACATTTGTATGCAGATTTCTGTGTGTAGTACAAAAAGGTGATTGGACCTTCATGTTGCACAAATATCACAATTGATTGCAAATTTTAAGAGTTATAAAAATAGCAGCTTTATGAAATGCAGCTTGCAGCTATTCAGAAAGTACCGAGACTCTTCATAATGAATTGTCTGAAGTTTGCTGGACCACCGTTATGTTCAGATTTTTGACAAATCACTTGCTGGAATAGAATATAAATTTTCTTTTTGCGATCATTCCTGCACGTGGCTGTGACTGAGATTCCAGTGCAATGTGGGGTTTTGTTTTCTTTTCCCTAGGAATGGGTCAATTCTTGTATGGGATTTCAGATGAAATGAAGCAGTCGCACAGAGAACAACTCTTTGCTGTCAACAGTGATAACCTGGTTGATGTATCAAACAAGTAAGCCTGTGCTCAACTTAGGAAGATGTTTACTTGAAAAACATAACAAAAACCTGATTTTTAAGAAGTCTGTGAAAGTTGTCATACTTAAGTTATTTGATTTCTCCCCTTGGCCCTTCATACTACTTTCACTACTTTCTTTTGTAACCTAGAAAGAGACATGTTAATTACATCTTGCTTTTTATATTCTGCGGTGCAGCAGATGTAACTCCCTCCTACATTCTGAATTTGTGGGAGATTTGTTTTTCTTTTGAGAGGTCCAGAAACTAACTGGAGTGTCAGTACACTCACTATATGTGCTGCTTCTACTCAAGTTGTAGCATTCTGTGTCTGACTTCTCAATTGCACTGTAGACATAAGAATTCCACTACTGCAGAGTAAACACTAACAAGTTGTACACATCAAAGGAGACTTTTTCCTGAGATGAAAATATTTTTAACTTGGAGAGCAGAGCTATGGATAACTGAATGCACCAGCTTCTCACTTGTTTATGGGGGTTTTTTGCAGGTATCTTGCAGCTGGGAAGAGCACTCGTGGTCAAGCTGTACTGGGCCCAGAGAATGCGGATATCACCAAAGATCCCTCATGGGTCAAACGATGACTTGCTGCTGAACATCCCTGCTAACACAAAAGTCAGTCTGTGTGACTACATCATTAGGGGTGTTTTTAGTAACTTTTAATAGTGCTATGGTAACACTGAAAGATTCATTGCTGTTTTTAAGTGTTCACCAAACCAGTTAGAAGCCGCCCTTGAAATAACGATGTGAAAAATTTTCTAACCATACAGTATTTAAGAGCAAGAATTACATGCTCTGCATGGCAAAGACAGACCTTAATCTTTTACTGAAGCATCACTCCTCCAATTGCATATGAATACTATATAAAGGAAATATTTTTGTATATGTAAAACTCTAGTTTTAAATGGTGTTTGAAATCATGTCTGCTGTTGGATATATAAAGAACTGTCTCTCATACTGACAGATTTCATTCTGTTGTGTGGTAATTCCAGCTTCCTTTGCATAAGCCACCTCCAGCCAGAGGAGTCTGTGACAGTACATTCCACCTTGTGTTGAGCTGAGTGTGGGTGAACTGCAGTGCCGTGGGCAAATCCCTAATGAATCAAGGCACAGTCTATTTTAAGTTAAACTTAGTTTGCAAATTTGGGCAGCATTCAGTCATTTTGGTATGACATGGTTTAGTATTTAACTTCTTGTCAAGGTCCAGTTAATATAAGCTGACATGAGGAAACTGTTGGCTGTTTGGCAGCCTAATTTCAGAAATCACATTACTCTTTTTGATCATTATGGTGGGTTTTTTTAATAGTCTTGAAGAAGCTCTGAGAAGACAGAAACATGAGATTCAGAAGGGTGTAACCTGGTCCTTGCTTCAAGTTGTTAGAGCTTCTCCTCCCTGCTCCCATCCCCAAGACGTAGCTTTATCATTCCTGTGCAAGGAAAAAAGGAAGGGGTTTTTTTTCCTTCACTGGTGTGTATGGAGAATCCTTCACCAAGTGTCATTCCCTAACTGTTTAAAAGGTGAACACAATTTGTGACACATCACACGTGATGTTTGCAACAGTACTTTATTTCACTTCAGGAACATTAAGCACATCCTGTAACTCAACACAAAGCTAGCCATCTACACTTAGTTTTGGGGTGTAAGTACTCTGAAACAAAGTGCAGTAGATGAGTAACTTACAGAGTGCATAGAACGGTGTTGCACTTGCTTTGTTAAAGGGCAGTATCAGTAACTGGTGCTTTTCCATTAGATGCAAGGGTTTGTCTCAAACATAACACACATACAGGACAAAATCTGTGTGACAGCTGAACGTCTTGTTTCACATAAAGTGCTGGAACAATAATTTAAATGTTACAAAACAAAGCTGTAACGATTCTAAAGCATTGTTACTCACAATGTGCATCTATGACAACGATCTAAATGTGATGTGTTTAGATGGCTGCGGGCACTGCTTCCTTGGGGAGCATGGCCACATGCTCCAGCTGGCCTGAGTCTGACACATCATAACTAGTCTTGTACTTGGCCAGGATCTTCATCAGTGGTCGCAGCTTCAACCACCACTGCTCCTTGGGAATCCTGTGCCTGGTGGGGAAAACAGGGAGGTCACTGATTGATATACAAGGGGGGTAAGGCAAACACCTTCCTCATAAACAGGATCAGACATTGACCTTTATGGTGGGATGTAAACACTGATCCAAAATTAAGAGAATCAAGGTCAGAATCCTGGAAGATGTTATTATAGGTAAGCATAATACTGAATTTGGCACAAAAATGCTGCCGCACTAAACTGAACCAGAAGTAATTCTAGGCATTAGAGCAATTATGAAAAAGTTGTTTAAAAAGGCAGCAGAGAGTCACAATGAGAGACGTGCAAGTATAAGGAGGATGAGGAGAAAGCATGAAGAGAAAAGACCAGAGAACAAATCAGAGTGAATCACTGGCCGAAGGCAGGCCCAAGCCCACAGCAGTGAGAGGTGGGGCAAACTGTGAGCACTGCAGGGAAGTGTTTGTTTGCAGTGGTGAAGGGAAGGCTGTGCCGAGGTGTTTAACATGTAAGCAGCATATACATACACAAAGTCTGTTTCAGTCTTGAGCTCAGCCACGGGTTGGAACACAAGGTTGCGTCTGCGCATTCCCAGCAAACACACTGAGTCCTCGGTATTGGCAAATACTTTTCCTAAAAAGAATGAAGTAATTCAGGATCTTTCTTTCTCACATGTACAAGGGCAAATACCATTTTTCTGTAATTAAACTGAATCAGAAGCTTACAGTAGCTTTATTTCAGCTACTGATTACTTAACAGAATGATCAACAATTAGTGCTTTAATAGGGTTAGATTTTCACTTTTTTAGCTTAGCTTTTGGTAATTACCAACGAAATCACAGTGCCATTAAGCAACAATAAGACTGATTTTTAGCATCCAGTTTTAAATTAGATTGCAGGAAATAGTGCTTTACAAAAACTCCCAAAGAAGGCACATTACCTGGTTCTGTCTCCCATAAAGGCAGCATGAAACAAAAAGGAAGAATACATGTAACTATACAAGCATCAATTCCTTCACGCATGAAAACCTGCAATCACACCAGCATTTTTCTTAAGAAAGATGATATAATAGCTATCTGAATTATTGACCTCACTCAAGTGGAAATCTTTGTACAGCAGGAAGCACAGCAAGGCACTACTGAATAATAAAAACATCAAGAGGGCAAGAAATATGTTGACTAACAAACATTAGTCTGTTTGCATAGTGGAGTAGTCTTATATACTGCCAGACAATCAAATACAGTAACAAAGGGATTGCACCAAACATTTCTGCACCTTTCCGGTAGGTTTCTTTCAGTTTTTTGGAGATCCACTGCATAGCTTTTGCTGAAATTTTTGTCCCAAAATTTCTATCAAACGGCGAAGGTGCTCCGCCCTGTGTGAAAGTTTAAGTGAGGGTTAGTTTAGTTATCAAACCAGGATCTGTGTCTGTTTTATCAGTCATCTCTGCTAATGACCTGCTCTATCTCTTATTTTCATTTCTCCCACTTAGCAAAACAATTAAGTCAAAAACCCCAGCACATAAATCAATCTAAGGCATTTAAAAATTTGTGTTCAGCACCTGTAGAATTCTCATGGAATCAGTGCTACATCTCAGATGAATGGAGGGCACTGTTGTCCCTTTCCTCCACCTCAGCCTTGGTGGTAAGTGTAGCCAAATCAGAAACTCCCTCTCTGCCCACTAACAAGCTGCACTGTGAGATAAAGAAATGTAGTACAGAGGCCAAAGGAGTACCCCACTACTCTCTTCCACAATAACATCCACCTGCACAGATTTCCCTAATGAAATCCAATCTCTTCCAGGGCTCAGAAGGCAGATACATTATGCATGGGCAGATAAGTGTGTTACAAGAATGTATTACAATAATAAGAAAAAAAAAATGGAGTTGTTGCTTAATATAGACCGGAGAGGAATAAATATGAAAATCATTAAGAATCTTATGCATATTTTCCCTAGATTTTTAAGCAGGGATTGCAATAAAATCTAATGCTAAAAAACCCCCAGTACTTCTGAGTTACCTACAAACAGAAATCCACACTTTTTTTCTTTAATCCCAAGTCAGACTTCTTCAATATGCTTGAATAGTGTATGTTCTTTGTCCATACAAAGTTAGTCTTGTGTGTAACTTTAAGATCATACTTACCTGCTGCATGTGGCCCAATACATTTTTTCGACAGTCAAACACTCCTTTTCCTTCTTCAGAATACAGCTGATAAATGAAGTCAGTTGTGTAGTTCTCATTGCAGTTCTCATTTCTGTAACAATTAAGGCCAGGTACACTTAGCAAATTTACTATGAAGTACCGGATGCTTCTACAGCTATTGAATGACAGGCGTTTTTCCCATTTTCTTGATACCAGTAATCCTGGCTTTGACATTTTCATCTAATCACATATGCTGACTCCCCTGTAACTTGCTCATAATTTTGCAGTCTGCGTTACTGTTACTGCACTTACATCACTGGCAGGTCACTTGGAATCCACTGTTGACTAAGGCAGTGAAAAACAACTGTTTTAAGTCTGACAAATTCATTACACAGAGGAAAAACTGCACTAAAAGTCATCAACATCCAGTGTCATCATTTTGCCCTTTATCAAAACATGGGTAACGAATAGCACCTTTAGGCTATTCCTTACTAATATTGTAAATGTAGGATACTTTTCACCCCAATCATTTAACTAGTAGAACCTGAACAAATATAATGGTACCCTCATACAGGTTATGGTGGTATTAATTTTCAGCCCTCCATTATTTGGTAAACTGAAAATAACTGCTCAAGGAAGAGAGAAGTTACAGGCTGCCTACAGAGGTATGATTTTAAAACATGATAATATGTTTTAAATATTTTCGTTTCTGAAAGGTATTTTATTCTACATTATCTCCTAAAATCTAAGCAGCATTTTACAGTAAAAGCCATATTGTATGTGTACACATTTACGGTACACACTACCTGTAGCAAGAAAGAATCTAGAATAAAAGACAAACCTGATGAGAAAACAGACTGAAAACAGGATAAAATTAATTAGACTACAAAGCAAATATACGTACACAGAAAGAAGTAAGTTTTGGACTTAAGCTTCCAGACAGGTCCCAGAGTTGCCTTCTGGAGCAACAGCTTTAGTAAAAATCTCATGCTAAAGGAATAACCAAAGAGTACAAACTTGGGAGCGTCATTGCAAGTGGCCAAGCAGCCAACCTGTCTGGAAATACTCAGCATCACTGATGCCATCTATTACAACTACTTTTACCTACCTCAGCACTAGACCACGCTGGATACTGGTTTTCATTTTTTCAGTCAAGTGTTCCACATTAGCCTAAAAACAACAAAAGTATTTTCAAAGAGCCATACAGAACTCCTAAACAACTTTTATGAGCCTACGTTTCTTGAGAACTCCTGTCAAGTATTCCACATAGAGCATTACGTGTAAATCCAAATAATCGAAAATTTTGGAGATCCAGGATAACATGCTGTGTATGACTGTTCATCTTGGGCTAGAACTAACATATTCCTCTACATAACAAGTAACTGATTTTAATAAAAAAGGCGGTTTTATATGCTATACTGGTACAGCATCAAGCTTGATATATGTAAAAATACAGAAACTGTCACAGAAGACCACAGCTGGCCTTACTCCCAGTCCTGCCAACAGTCCTGTTATGGATACTGTGCTGTGCTGGTATTCCCCTACAGGATATGATGAGTACACACTACTGAAAAATGAGTGGGGATAAGTTATGGTTCATTTCACATCTCTGTGCCTTTCAGGATATTTCTATTGGTTTACCTTTGTATTTGTCCATGACTGCAGCTCTCACCAACTACTGCACAAGTCTGAAGTCCTCACAGGAGACAAGTTCTATGTCAGCTTGTATATGTAACACACCCTAATCCGTAATCCTTAAAGCCTGAAGTCTTTATTT